CATTTAAAATATGAATATCCCGGGTCTCGTGCGGATTGAGTGGACTTAAACAACTTTCAACAAAACTGCGGCCGTTTGGGAAGATCTCATACGCCCGAAAAATTACCATCAAATGTTAAAACTTTATGTTAAAGTTTTCCCCCTTCGAACCACGGTTTCAGAGAAATTTTCGGCGTGCGTCTAGCCCACGTCGTTACACGACGTGGTCCAGATACACAATTCATTTTGGCGCCCGTTTTCGTTGTACCCTCTGACCCATTCTCAGCATTCACGGCGAAGACGTTTGTGAATTCCTTTACAAATACCATATTCACACACTTCGTTATTCAGAAGGTGCCACTTCAGCGACCACTGTTTCGCAGCGTCTAAATGCATTCAAAGGGTGGTGGTTTTGGACTCCCTGGACACATTTGGAAGATCGTCGGCATAGACAACAGACAGAAGTGGTCCCTAAGCAGAGCCTTGAGGAATTCGAATGGAGACCAGTGCCGAACAACTGTAGGTCGAGTCCACTCTCAGAATGTTCTTGAATGGAGACCAGTGCCGAACAACTGTAGGTCGAGTCCACTCTCACCCAGAATGTTCTATCGGATTGAGACAACCAAGTCTAGCATAGAACTTCTTCAATCCCGTAAAGCTCGAGTTTATGGAACAGCGTGTATGTGGGACTAGATTCAATGCTTTTGTATTCAATGTCAGTCCTTAATGTTGTGACCCGTGGGTTCCATGCAGCCGTTCCTGAAGGGGAAGTCGGTTGGCTCGTTTCTTCGGTGGTGGCTCATGTACTTAAACGGTGCATTTTTGTTTTTCGTGGCGAGGTCTAGTACCGTCTTCCGTTTTCATGTATGCGATTAGCGGATTTCTGATTTTTGGCGGTTCCGCATATTTTCGGAAAGACAGCTCATTTTACGTCTCCTGTAGTTATTTTTCGAAGAATATTTGGGATTTCATTTCCAGAAAATACCAAATCCTTTTGGGTAGCTTCTGGTCCGTTCGACTGCACATTTGTTTCTGGAACGAACACCGCTTCAGCCTCGTGAATTTTTCGGGTAATGGTCCTGTATGTCTCCTCTACTGAAGCTGGTTCCAGTTTGTTTTGATCGAGGAAGATGTGCGTTTCTGAGAAGACTGTGCAGCAGAATTATCGAATCCATGTTTGAGATTCCGGGTTGCTGACCCAGTAGCAGATGAAAGAAAAGGTCAGTATACAGTGATTACTATGTCCCAGTGAAGCCTTAATACTTGATAAACGAAGTGTCTTTTGCTGGTGTTAGCCCAATCCAGCAGGGATGGTGGCTGGTCTGTATGGTTTTATTTCCGTCAAAATTCCATACTATAGAGCACGAACGCAAGGACTATGTGTACGCTCCCGTGCGAGGGATGCATATCTTCTGCAGAGGCATTCACACCCTTCCTAACCGGTCGCCTTACCACACACAGGGCCTGCAGCGAGTAGAATAAGAAGCTGATTGGTCAAGGGACTGTTCACTGATCGCTCCAGCATCAGAGCGAACTGGTACGGAATGCGGATCCAATCGTTTTCTAGTTTTCACAGAATCTCGACTGTCGTTGGCGCGTTCGGGAGCCATCGCAATTTTCAACGTGTTTTGGAGTGAGTTCGGGTTAACGTGTTGACGTCAACACACTGTAAGCTCTGAATGATGTGAATACCATGTATGTCTTGCTGCTAGCGCGTGCGTATGTTGCACCCTGTGCATGATTCACGCCTGATCTTGGGACTGAATTTTCATATCACTTGCGGTCTCTCGTGCTGGAATCGGATGAAGTAGGGTCTACCAAATGACGGTACCTCAGCAATATGAGAACTGTTAACCCACGAGAGCATCATGTGAATTGTATATGATTCAGCACGGCGCTTCTGTGCATGCCCGAATCTTACAAATTTGATCAGATAGTCTTCGTTTGCTCGCTTTTATTGAAGCGGCCCAATGTCAGTTGGTTTAGACCTAAAATTTTGCGCTAATTTTCCCAAATCAAACGCCGTCACTATCGGCATAATCAACCTTGTACACAGGTGTTCTGTCATCAGTCTGTAGCAGGCCGTTCGTGCGAACCATTTGTGGATTCGCCAGCATTTTCACCTTATTCCAGAATGTTAAGCACGAACCTTGATTAACGGGTTCTTCAATATTTTGACATCCATAGACCTCTGTTTTTTCTGCTGAAAATACTAACTTGGGAGGACCAGACCGGCAGCCGACCTGGAGGATGAACTTTCTTTCGCAGCTACCGATTCTTGTATATCTGGCAAAAACTTACTGTTTCTCCTGTGGCAGTTGATATGCTCATAGATCTTGCGTTATGGAGCATGACTTTGTAGGTGCAAAGCACACACCCGCTTCTCTCAGGCCTGGAGATCTTTTCCGACCTACCATTCGTCGCGTGTTTCTAGGACCTCGATCCCGGACCGATTACGAGCTGCGGCTTCGTATTTGCATAACGCTGCCTCTTCTAGATTCTGATGAAACCTGTCACCTTTTCGTGAGAAAACTCCCCAATGTTTCTGGGTCATTACGCGGTGGTGCTTATCTCCGAATTGTCCCTGCGGGATGCAGAACTAAGTGTCCAACTAAAGACGCTGAAAAAACGGGAACAAACTCACAACTCAGTAAATGTTTGTCCTGATAATTGTATTCCTATCTAGGCTTGTATCGCAGTTGCTAGCACTACCGCTGGTCATTAATCTATTTGGACCGTGATTGTCTTTCAAATTAGTCGGTCCCCTTTAACGCGTGCCCTGTGATTGCATGCTGCGTCCTTTTGCGGGTCAACTCCAGCTGCATCTCAAGAGATGCCTGCTGCTTACCATTTGGGCTTTATGAAATTCGTATCTCACTTGCTTCCCTCAACTCAAATCAACACTTTTACACTGGTTACGAACTTACTCAGGCTCGATATCGGAGACGCGATACAGTCAAATCTTAAGCAGAATTGAAATGAAATATCCACAGGTCTTTGGGCCATGCTAGCTACAGAGACATATGTTTAGGGATTTAGACTCTGGTTGTTCCTCATTCGGTTAAGCTTTAGTTTTAATCTATCGCCGCAATTCCGACGGCCTTTCGCCGAAAATTTTCCAGGAAGTGATAGGTTGTGTTGTGTGGACCATATCCAGTAAGGCTGTAACACCCCTTCGGTGGCTAGACGCCATGCCAATCGAAAGAAAAACGAGAGCTTGGATACTGTCAGGTTGCCCAAGCCCAGACAGGGGAAGTCATGAGACATTATTTTGTGCAGGTTGATGAATTATTGGGGGAGACAGCTTCGTGAGAATCAGACCAGGGTTCCGCCCTGGTTGAGGATGCATGGAGCATATCTTCGCCTTGAGATTAATTCTTGAACAGCGCCACTCTTTCAAACATCCCACATTAGTCGTTTTTCTTTATTTGAAAGCTTCTCTTGATTCTGCCCATCGTCAGAAACTTTGATAATGTCTGGCGGTCAAAGGTGTCCATTCCAAATTTTTATCTCCTATGAGGGCACTGTACGCGAGCTCCTCCGTACTAGTATATGGGGGCGAGATGGACCGAGTGGTTAGAGCGCGAATTTACTGACCGGAAGGTCTGTGGTTCGAACCCGACCTCTGCCACTCGACTTCCCCTGTTTAGGCTTGGGCGACCTGGCAGCATCCCAGCCCTCGTGCCTCCTTCGTGTGGCATGGCAGCTAGGCACCGAAAGGGTGCTACAGTTGAACGATTTATTCATTTTGTTTTGTTGTACTAGTATACGACAAGCTTTCACCTGAGTTCACCACTTCCAGTAGTGTAAGACCAGGTTGTCCCCTCTCACCTTTGCTCTTCAACTTTGTTATTGATGTGCTTGAAATTTTTGTGCCTGCCTCCGAAACCTCAGAAGTTCGAATGCTCCCGGGACGTTACGTCAAACATTAGCATGCGGATGATATTGCTCTCCTTGGTTCAGCTCCTTCAAAAATGCAAACCATTTTAAATAATCTAAGTAACTTTGCCGCACTATTTGACATGCGTTTCACACCTGGAAAGCGTAAAGTACTGCTATAAGGCTGGATAGGACCAAACCTAAACCTCATGCTTGCAGACGAGCCAATCGATGTGGTAGATAAATTTGTTTATCTGGGCAGCCGTATAAGTTCCGGTGTACTGGCTGGAGATGAGATTACCTCTCGGATAGGGAAAGCCAAAGCAGCTTTTGCCAATCACCGACGCCTGTGGCGCAGATGTGACTTCAGTTTGTCTGTCAAGAGCAGAGTTCACACTGCGGCAGTAAGATCCGTACTGTTTTGTGAATCAGAAACTTGGCCTCTACGCACAAGTTATGTACGAAACATGTCAGTGTTTGACCATCGGTTTCTCAGAATACTTGGTCAGATCTAGTGGGTACATCGGACTAGTAATGCTGAAGTACACCAGACGGCCTTAGGACGGATTACTCAATTCTCTGGTTTCGCTGTTTAGGACATGTGCTTCGCATACCAGAAGACTATCTGCATCGCAGGGCTCTTTTCGCCCAGCCCTGTATTGAGTTGAAGCGAGCGAGAGATGGACAGTGTATGGCTTGGCAACGAAGTATGAAAACACTAGCCATTAAACTTAGTCGGGTCGACAACTGCGTCCTCCCTGGATGGGAACCTGGGGACTCACCTCAGCAATGCTTGATGACACTGACAGAAATAACCCAATCGCGCAGTCAATGGCACTGTTGTATGAAACCTATCGCCTTCAATGCGTAGCTACCCAATTCCCGAAATGACTGAACATGCCACCACCCCCAAGGCTTGGCCGTATCTCCCGCACCCTCCCATTCTCCAGTGATCGAAACTCTAGCAGGTAGAATCAATGTGCCTATGGTACACGGTTTATAGCTGACGTTGAGTGATTGATTAGTCCACTAAAACTAGCCCTTGCCGCGTATTTTCTATTCGGGGATTTTTTCCTCTGGATAACCGATGACCGTTCGATCGTCACGTTTATCTATTCATCCATGTGTTTATTTAGCTAGCTATGACAGCACCGAAAGGAGACAAGCATTTGGAGGAAATAAAGGCTGCCATCAGAGTTTATCCAGATTTTCCCGTGAAGGGTGTGCTTTTCAGGTACTGACTCGCGATCCCATTACCTCTACATATCAATTACAACAGGGATATATTTGGGGTGTTTCGCGATGCTCGGTTACGTGAAAAATTGTTTTCGGAACTGCTCTCCTTCATCCAAGAGAAAGTGAGCCGAACTCACAAGGTAGTTCTCTTGGTTTCATTGTAACTCACCATCTCTCGAGGTTGACGCTGTAGTTGGGCTAGACGCCCGTGGTTTCCTTTTTGGTCCCTTCATCTCGGCAGGTCTCAACTGTGCCTTTATTCCGGCTCGAAAGGCCGGCAAACTTCCTGGGCCGTGTCATTCCGCTTCATATGATCTCGAATATGGAAAGGTACGTATATGTTAGCTTACGCCAATAGTTTGTTCCTTCTAGTTATTTGTCAGATGCAAGTTAACTGTGCTTAAACTTATAGCTGTTAGTTTTTACTTGTTTTCCGTGAATCTTGACTTACAACTGTCCCTCTTGCTGGCGACTCAACTTTAATCATCGAATTATCTTGCTTTGTAATCAAACCGGACGTCGTACACTCGGTTTTGCTGATCCTTTCTAGCTCCGCTTTTTAACAAACTGTCCATTCTGCTGGGCCGTCAGCCGCGTATTAAAAAGACAAATTGCCCGATCCTCTCTAGGGTGTAAAAGTCGGTTTCGAAAGTGACTTTTTCGGGAAGGTAGCTACATCTTACAATTGTTTCCGCGCATTATATTTTTCTCCAACGAGCTGATACATGCCCTCCTTGTCCTTTATTTTTGCTAAAATAAGGAAAACTTGTCGAACTATGGTTCAGTGAAGTGATGTGCTGAATACTTTAGTGGCACAGTCACCGCCCCTCTTTAGAGTTCTATCCTTTTGACCAACTCTCCTGGTAATCATTTGCGCGCTTGTACTCAGGTTGGATAATAACATGACTAATCATCTTAAAGGTGAACGTTTTTTTTTTGGGGGGGGGACTATGCTAGAAATTTTGAAGTCTTTCGTCCATAACTATTCTTTAACATCTTATCAACTTCTGTATTCGTATTGGAAAGACTGAAACATACATGGGTGTTTTTTTTCTTTTCGACTGCTTTTGATGAGTCCGAGTATAAAATCAGAATGCTCAAAAGACTTTAATATGATGGCATCACTTCGCTCGATGCCCATACGTCGGATAACAGGATGGATCCCGTCATTCCTGCCTGTTATGTAAACCACACTGGGTTAATGTTATCAATAAAAACAGCTTCCTTGGGTAGTTTAAACTTGGTACGTAGTCACATAATATCGAAAAACATCGGATGGTTGTTTTCTCTTGCAGGAAATCCTCAGCGATTCATTCTTCTTTGGTTTTCCGAGAAATCTGAACTCAACTTTTTAGTGCGGGAGCTGAATACAGAGTTCCTCCTTTGTATCCGTCACGAAGAGACTGGACCTTACCGTGGTGTGACGGTTTGCGCATCTCAGCGATCCATTGAGCTATACTGGAGAGTGTCCCGCGACACTCACAGAGTCTCTCATACCAGGTTGGTCAGTGGTTAGAGGTCTGACGAACACAGTCTCCTGGTCCTCCAGGTTGGGGGTTGGAACATGTGGCGACTTGTTCCGTAGAAATGGTAATGCATTTGCATTTCCCGCCAAACGCCGCTGCCTTGCGGTTAGGCTTTTGAGCCAAAGGCTTTGGTTGAGGACCCTAATCGCCCTCCTGTCTAGGTATGGGCGCCCTGGCAGTATCCCAGCCCACGTACAACCGTGAATTGCACATATACAAATAAACTCATGCCACATCGGCCGTCGCGTGGTGCCATCAGCCGGGTCGCCTTATTTGCTGCATACAGCAGGGCAGGTAAGCGAAAACAGGCTACTGCCGACGCCTCCTTTCTTACTCCTTCACATGCTTTCCCTCCTCTCCCTACCCCATTAATAACTCTCTCCTTGTAGGCCCAGCACTTAGGACTGATGATGCTGATCAAACGTTTATCTGAGAAACGAGTAAAACAGCAAACTAAAGTAGATTATACCTTTTTGTCCCAACAATTTTTATCGAAATTCTTTAGTAATCCAGCAGGAAACGCTTTAATCAAATGGAATGTATAGGCTAAAGCTTATTGCTCTTGTAAACAGGCCGAAACAAACGACCCAAAGAGAGTTCCTTATGGAATCCATTTGGTGGTCCTTAGCATCACTAATCCGATTTTCCCACCGGACCCGGACACTATGTCGTGCACACTAATAGTCAAGCGCCGAACTTTTCCTTGTCTTCTGTGCCTTGTAGTCACATCTATGGCTCCTGAAGTAGTTTGGATTGCACTTTCATTGAGTGTATTGCGCATGAATGACTGTCATTCAAAGTCTAGTGTAGTGAAATGCTTTCATCCACGCGGCTAAATGCAACTCTTAGGTCATGGAGACCGCGAAGACCGTCAGATACCCGAGAAGTCAAATTTGAGTTGCGTAACTTAGTCACAGTGTTGAATGCAACTTCCGATGACACTAAATGATAGGCAGGGAAAAAACAATGTTTCAACAAGTGGTATTTGTTTCCTGATTCCTCATTGAGTACGGACATTGGGATCTGCAATATCGACCAAGTCTCAAGTACGTTAAGGGTTTGTTTTTTTGTTTTGCTGGTCTTTATCCTAGGTAGAACTGCGTTTAGGTTGAAAACTGGATTATTTAAATTGTAGGTGAGGGTCGATGAGCGATTAATTGCAGGGGTGTGAGTTTTTGACTCTGAAGTCTGGTCCACAAGACAGTGGTTTCGGGTCTTGGGGGCGGAGGATCGCCGACTTGGCTACGGGGTCATGCGCAGAAAAGAAGACATGTCTCACTTCTGGTATTGTTGCGCAAAACAGATGCGTTCGATGCTGTCCCGGGCTGGTGGTACCAACTAATTTCCTGGAGGTCACGGAGTGATCAGTTTGTGCTGCCGTTAGTACTGGCGCTTTTGCAGTGCGTCCCTGCTGTCTGAAAGGAACAGTCGATTTTGTTCGCACCTCTGTCGCACGGCTTTACTTCTAGACTACCTAATAATGCTATTACTGCAGTGTGTTGGCTGGTGGGTCTACTTCTACCTTCGCATTTTTAAGGTGGTAGCTTTCAGTTGGTTTGTGTACCGGAAGCATAAACAGAGCATCAGTAAACTTGCTCGTTCTCTTTCCCTTCTCGCGCTAGGACTAACTGATCAGAAACAGCTGGTACCATGCATCGGGTCAAGATCAGAGTGTTTACGAACATATCAGCCAATCGCTTCATAGCAGTGTGTGAAGGTATTATCTCACAACAAGGTAAAAGACCAGGCTTGGTGCTGTCACTAATAGGGAACGAATATCCTTTTGACTAGTGTGGGTTCTTATACTAGTTGATGAATGAGTGACGCAAATATGGCTGTTTATTGGGATCCTTTCAAGGAAGCTACAGTCTAATCGTTAAGCTGTTACAGTTGATGTTCAGCTGTTATGCCACTCGAAGGGAGCACAAGGCCTTAGATGCTGTCAGGGTGCCTCAGTTTTGGAGCTAAGAACTCTACCAACGCCGAAGTAATCCATTGCAGTAGATGCAGGACTGCCTCGGGTGCGTAGATGATAGCTTCTAGATAACGAAATTGCGGTAAGTTTATTTACCCTAACTGGATTTTTTTCTAATTTCGGAAGCGCTGCTTTTACCTGTTGTTAGTGTCAAGTAGCTTATTGGACGGTTCGCTCAAGAGTTGGCATATCAATTGCGATGAAAATAAGGGGATGAGGCCTGAGGAGGGAACGCGAAGCGGCAGATATGAGCGGTGACATTCTGTCAACCCTTGGGTGTAACACTGATATCTCTTCGACTGGGGTCCACAAAAATAGGACTGGAAAAGTGCTGAGACAACAATGCTAAAGGACGGAAGGTATCAGTAGTAGTGTATTTTTGTTTACCCGCCCTAATGTACGCTGCAAGCAAAGGGGCCCGACTGGTGTCACCATGCGATGGCCGATGTAGTATGAAATTACTAGCCTTTGTGCAGTTATATGTGGATTGAGGTACTGTCAAGACATTCATACGTGGACAAGAGAATGCTTATGGTGTTCAACCAAAGCATTGATTTAAAAGTCTAGCCGCAAGGCAGTGGTGGTTGTGGGACTACTAGAAATGTCGCCATGACTTGACACGAAAAGTGACGCGTCAATTGACATGCAGTAGGTCCGCTAAAATTTTATCCTGTCCTCAAATGGGAGACTACATAGTTGGACAAAATGTTTCCGTACGTAGAGTTCGCATCAAAGGTTTTTGCAAATGTGAATGAACGCCGTTGACTCCACTTGCTTCCATGCCACGACCGGTGCCGTTTTTTTATTGTTTTTCCTACTTCTCAACACATATTGGTCCAGTTTTTATGGAAGTCGCGTGAATAGAGGCTGTGGTAAATAAATAAGCCGCGAAACTACAATAGATTCTGACACGCCATTCTAAATGCGTCAACTGCCTTAAACAACGCACATGATCCCTACAACTCTTACCAAGAATCCTACTATATAGTCTTCAGTCAGTTGTTCCGTCCTCCAGTGGCTTCGTACACTAATGGTGAACTGTGTTGTTGACCTATTGACCAAGATGATACAGGATCGACGACGAGTACACCGTCAGAACTTCGGGATTTGTCTGCTGCGGAGTAGGAGCATCTCTTTTTTGGCACCAACCTAAGTTAATGTCTTATTCGTCTTTTTTGTTTTACGGGACATTTCAAGACCCGCCTTATCTTGTTCTTCTTACCACACTAATACAGAAATGTTTTACAACCTATTTTAGGCCACACTTGAAATACAACGTGATGCCCTGAAACGGGATGATCGAGTGCTTCTGTTGGATGATCTGCTTGCCACCGGAGGGAGTTTGAAAGCTTGTGTGGATTTAGTTCACAGGGCTGGTGCTATCCCTGTAGCGGCTGTTGTTATTATGGAACTGGTTGACTTGCCCGGTAAAAGCTTATTAGAAAGTGCCCATGTTCCGGTCTATTCCCTGTTCCAATTCTGAGAAATGTGTCCGATGTGACTGGCTTGGTCGCCGCAATTTTTATACGCATCGTGTTCACCACCGACGTGACTATCTTAGAGTATCTTTTCTGGACTAGTCTGCATCTAACGATGGTCTCATACCCTTTTGGCAGACCGCCTTAGTTTCACAAAATCTATTGTTTTGTGTGCGTATTGGTTTGTTTTTGAACCGCTGATTTCCATGCCTTTCTGCTTCCCTATCTTTTATTGCCTCACATCACGCAGTATGCGCCAAATATTTTGTTGGAATACTCCATCTAAATATTACACCAATTTAAAAAATACGTATTGTGTCGGTTTGGAAGGAAGGGTCCCTCTACGGTGAAAATTGCAATTAGTGTGCGAATGTCCGCATATCTTATTGAACACTTCGACAGTCATCAGTTGGGTTTGATAGGCTTTTTGGTACCCATTAACATTAACCTTCATTCTTCTGACCGTCACCCAGAATATCTCGCCCAGTCGCTTAACACTTAGCTTTGTTTCCCTACCCGAATCTTTCAAATCCCTATTCGCATCCACACAAACAAAATACAGGCGATTTTATCATCTGGTAGCTCAGTGGTTGCTGCCTGGAAGTTTGTGGTTCGAGCCCAACCGACATTTCGACTGCTGCTGTCTAGGCTTCGGCAACCTAGCAGTACTTCAACCCTCATGCTTCATTTAGGTAGCTCCTTGGCTAGGCACCGAAGGGGTGTTACGGCTGAACAATTATTGATTATAAATTGTCTACAATGTTGGGGAAGCCCTCCTAATCCAGTGATCTCACATCTAAGTTTGTGCTTCTATGCTCCTGAGGCTCACACACATGTCGATTTATGAAACAAACTTCAGACAGTAGTAGATAAACCGCGTCCCCAAAAAATGTATCATGGGCTAGCGTTCACCAGGTGCAGTTGAACTAGAGCTTCCGTAGTGGTGACCGAAGAGCCATTTTTTGAACTTTAGTACATGAAGAATCTAGATTCCATGGTGAACAAACATGAAATGATGCATTCATGATAGAAACGAACTTGAGTTCGATAGGAGGACTGCTATGTTGATGTGCGCTAGATCTATTCAACAGTCCGGTTGGAAGCAGCGGCCTGGTGGCAGTCAATAAAATGGAGGCTGGTTTACGGAGGAAGCTATTCTGTTGTCACCACTGGACCTAGTTAAGTTTGTATGGAGATACGGAAATTTTGATAGTGATGCACTGTTTATAGTAAATCAAATGAGCGAAGAAATTAGAAAACGGCCGATATTTTGTTTTAAATATTTCCTTTTATATGATCGGAAAAGTGGGATCAAGCCTTGTCACGATGCGTGTTCCTTGGTTTTTACGAGACTTGAGAACAGAAGTGGGTCCGCCTTTTGTTACGTATTTCTAGAAATTTCTATTTCGCATTCCGGCTGAAAAGTGCTTCAGATGGAATCGTATCCTGGAGTTTTTCAAATGAACTTTGATTTCAAGACTTTTGCGCCTTTGACTCAGTAAAACAGCTTGCAGACGTGTCCGTCCAGCGGAACAGATTGTGTATGTTTCTTCAAGAATGTTGCCCCTGTTTTCCGATAAAGATCAACAGGGATTCATTGGACGATCAATATTTGGACGTCAGTCCACTCATTTGATCATGTCTGTCATGAATCACTGCACTAAGCTATTGGCCTGATAGCCTACACAGATAGGTATTCGTTTTTGCTTGGTATCATGTAAAACTTTATCTTTCAGGTTATTTCCTCTAGATTCTGTCACTTTGTTTTCATTGCACTTTGTTTGCTATCAACCATATGTGTGATTATGTGATTATATACGGAAGCTGCGTAATAGATTGGGGATGGTCTTCAGATAATTCGTCTACCTAAGTTTAGGTAGTTACCGAATGGGTGCGAACTTTCGTGGTCGAATATGCGAATCCCCTAGGATATCACTTAGTATAAGAACGCAAAACGACGCTCGGGCTAAAACAGGCTAAATAAACATTGCACATGAAAGCAACACGTTTCTTATTCGTGATTACCAAAACACAACATTTTATTGAATTTCGCAGGTGGATTCAGTCTACCTTTGTCAGTAACGTGTGATTTTCGCCTCAAGCATAGGAAGACCATTGTCTCGATTACGAAGACTCTCAATGAGGTTGAACTCTTGCAAACTTGGCAACTGAAGGTTGTGGTATATTAAGGCAAGCCGGGCGCAGAGGTGAGGGGCGGTGTGTATCTTTTCCACCCGTCGTTGGCCAGTGACCCTCCTCTGTGCAAAAATTACTGGCTGTGCCACCACAGTCGGTGTGGCAACTTTAACCACTGAAAGACTTGTATTCGTTCTCAAGTGGCACACTAAGTCATCTGGACCATGCAGATTAATTCTTCATCCTGGTCGAACTTATGCTATCTGCTGTCCACCGTAGTCTTTACTACCGGTATATTGCGTTTACCTAAGAAACCTACGTCATCCTCAAGCGGCAAAGTAATGTAACTGCTAAAAACAGTTGATGCTGATATTGAAACTTTCAGCACTTTCGATGTCTTCATTTGCCTTCTCTTCCTCTTAACTTTGTCATTCGTTGGCAAGCATCGCTCTATTGAAATTTGAAGAGCGCTGTTCGCTTCTGTTGTAATGCGTCCGCTTCCCGTGTTCCTACATTTACACAATCACTGTTTCGCCTTGTTAGGACTTTGGCACCTTTTAAATGGACTGTCAATCAGCTAATCTACCGAACATATCTAGCCCTCGAATATCATCCGTGGTTGATGATGTGACAAACTGACGATGAAACACAGAACTTACTTTCTGACACAAACCAGTGTTCCCGCAGATTTACTCGTGGGAAGGTGCTACTTCCGCCCCAGGTTTTTTCTAGTCGCAGGATTCTGAGTGATGTTTCTATGGGCTTGTGTGTTTAACTTCATATCCAGTCCACCCCGCCACATCTAAATCCTGAGTTAAGTGCATGCCACTTGTTTACTTGAAAGTGGACAGTATGTTGATCTCGTAACCACATTTCACATCTTGCACAGGACCCCAAACGATAAGGTGCTACAGTTTGCTGGATCTGTTCATATGAGAATATGGAAATCAGAGCTGTTGAAGCAGAAGGAGTCGATCATATCACTTGATTATTAACTTGCTTCTGACATCGCGAGGGTAAAGATTTCTTCTGCTTTATCTGACATTATTCAATAGCACACATCCAAAGAAATACAATGAAATATACCCCCGTGTGCTCTGTTCAAGCTTGTAACGGAAAAGTTGAGCTTCAAGACGTTCTATGGTCGACTCGCTAGCTGGTCAGCGGAATTAATTTAGTTGTTTTTGTGGGACCCTGTCCTTCACATTTGCAATTAGGATCCAAACAAGCTGAGCACTGACGCCTAAATTATGGTATAATGTATTGGCAAGAAATTGAATTGACCGATACAGCTGTCTGTGAAATGTAGCTAGATGCCGATGGTATTTAATGAAATCTTCATTCTTCGGATATTTCCTCGAAGCTCTGTTCTTCCGGCCAGTCGGCGAATGGACCAGTCCACAACAGTGGGAGAATAAAATGCTCATTTCTAGTTCGTTCAAGCCTTGGTCGACGCAAATATAAAGCTCACTTTTCATTACTTCAGACTTGAAGCAGTTTATGGTTGTTGTAATATATCCAAATCCGGAGTCCCCAACATCACTATGATGGCTAGTTTCTCAAAGCAAAATCCAGATTGTTTTAGAAAGTCGGTCAAAAGTTACTCGGAAAGCTCTGGTTTGTTTATGCGGCCGTTCAAATGTTTCCGCCCTGGTTGTAAGAGATTCCTACCGACTGACGGTTTCCGTCTGCTAGGTCGGGTGCTGGTGACTCGATGGAAACGTATATTCAGTGTGCTGTTCAAGAATTCTACTAGTGAAAGGAAGAGGGCCTTCGCTGCGGAGTTATTTATTAGAAAATGCCAACTGACCGGTTACAGACCATTGGACAGGGACGCAAAACTCTCATTTGCATCTTATTTACGAAAACTGGACATCTATCTTCTCCTGAACGCGTCCTCTTGAATTTTCCTGGATATTCATTGACTCCAATCATTGATTGCTCAAATACAAGCAAATGTTACAAAGCGACTCCACAAATTCCGCAACAGATCTCCCCTTTTCAAGAGACGCAGAGCGAATTTACAAGAACAACACATACTACTCGCATGCCTCGCCATCAGTAGTATTGCCGTTACACCAGATGTTTTTCAAGTATGGATCGTTTGTCATAAATAGGGACAGCGTCACCATCAGAGACAGCAACATCAGTGTTAATACTGATGCTTGACTTCCGTGTAGCCGCAAGGTTCAATCATACTCAAAGCCTTAAAGCGAAAAACAGAAAAAACAGTGTATGAGTGAAAGACATGGCACTGGGCTGTTGCAAGCTTCCTTGGGTGTCCAAACCTTCACACTCTCGATCAGACAACGTGGAAAAAAGCTGGCAGCACTAACGTCGACTAACCAGTATTTGTTGCAGTGTCTCCAGCCAAGAATGTGGGGTTATGCAACCCCATTGCGGAAGACATATCGCACAAACAAAACCTAAACTATTCGTCCGCTCTTTCATACCCTTCTACCAAGTCATCTTGTCCGTCTCACAGTTTGCGGTATTCTGCAGAATGCATGGAAAACAAAATACTCCTCTCGGTAGATGTTCTTTCCGGTATGTATAGCAGATGGCCGAGCCACCGCGGTTGATGTTTTTGGGTGTTTTCCGCTACTGAAGTACTTACCGTACAACCAAATACTCCTTTTCCAATTCCCTCGCTAGGATTTCGTTGACGCCATCCAATGCCAGCAGCGCTTCTGAGGCATCACTGATCATAAGTCTAAGGATGATAAACATCATCTGTCCGAAGACGCCACATCTCGCAAACATAGAACAAGACAGCCCATTCTGCACCCTGGCACAGACGACCCTCAAGACTCACCGACGAACCTTTTTACACCCTGAGTGAAGCAAATTGGCGAACCGGCCTTTGAGTATCGCGCGCTGGCTTCATCAGACCTGCCTCTGTCTCAGCTAATTCAACTATCGAGGCATATGAGATTCTTCACAACCTCTACTGCTTCCTTTAAAATACAGATGGCAAGACTTTTGTGTCTGGTCGTTTCAGTAGTTTGTAGTGGATGTAACTTGATCAGACTTAAGGCTGAGTGACTATTTTTGACTGAGATGGCGATGGCATCAACCAACACCCTGCAGTTCTTCAGCATGTTAACCAGTCTTGCTTGTCTGACTTTTTATGAGGGTAAGGCTTCTTTAGACTGACTTCGAAC